TCGTTCTTTTATTCTATCACTGTCATTTTTTTTTACCTTCTTTCTTTCCATCCTTTATTCCTTCTTGTCTGACATTCTGTCCTGGTCTATCTGAGACCACGTGATTGCCTCCTGGGATATCGCCGCGTTAGAGCAGTCGATAGGAGACTCGCTTTGAATTCCAGCTGCGACTCGCCGCAGCACACAGCCGGTCTTCGAAACCGGGCGGTTCCTGGATTCACCCAGCCTCTAGGAAATGGATACCAGAGTGAACACTCTGGGGTAAATGGAGGAACGTCGCTGCAGCTACGGATTTTCGTGCGAACAGCGACACAGGCGGACAAGTTTCTTATCAGCTGTCTCTACTGGTGGCAGAGAACTTTTGGTTTATAACTGTGTGCAATAACGCTGGTTCACATGTCCCGACTCTACCTTTACGCGTCCTTCTTAGTCACACAGACGCTAATGAAAATTGCTGTTGATCAGAGAGCAGATCGTCAAATCGATTAACGTTTTTATAAAAAAAATAATAGGGAATCGTGTTGGTGTAATCCCTCGAATAGTTAACAGACGTTTCAGACAAGGGTTTCTTTTATCGTTTGATCTTTTCTTTCTTTCTTTTGTGATTTCTGTCTTTCACTTGTTCTTTCTTTCTTTCTTTCTTTCTTTCTTTCTTTCTTTCTTTCTTTCTTTCTTTCTTTCTTTCTTTCTTTCTTTCTTTCTTTCTTTCTTTCTTTCTTTCGTTCTTTCTTTCTTTCTTTCTTTCTTTCTTTCTTTCTTTCTTTCTTGCTTTCTTGCTTTCTTGCTTGCTTGCTTGCTTGCTTGCTTGCTTGCTTGCTTGCTTGCTTGCTTGCTTGCTTGCTTGCTTGCTTTCTTTCTTTCTTTCTTTCTTTCTTTCTTTCTTTCTTTCTTTCTTTCTTTCTTTCTTTCTTTCTTTCTTTCTTCCTTTCTTTCTTTCTTTCTTTCTTTCAATCTTTCTTTTAATCTTTCTTTCTTTCCTATTATAAGGAAAACAAGAATAGACTCACTGCCTACCCAAAAGCATGTCGTAGGAGTGAATTAATTGGGAGTTTCCTTGGAAGTCGGAGTGCATCTGCCTGAGAGGCAAGGAACCAGCATTCTGTTTACAAATGAGTCAGATCTGTAAAACAGATGCACACGCAACACTCAGGTTCTGAAACAGGACTGCATTCCAGAAGTGGATGAACAACCAGAACTTTTTTCTGCCAGAGTTTACAGGGGATGAACGCAAAGAAGAAGATAAGACAACATCATATTGTTAAATCGATTAACCTTTTTACTGAAAATAATCGAGAATCGTGTTTGAATTTGCACCTGGCCAATTAACTGATGACTTAAGACACGGATTTGTGTTACCGCCCTCCCCTGAGGGTTTTGGGACTGCTGCATTTGAAGGTACAGAATAGACCGCTCCCCTAGATGCATTATAAAAAGCGACTAATTAGGGATTTTCCATCGTAGGTTGAACGTGGTCGACTTTGGGTTTTTTATTAATATCCTACCCTGAGATGAAGTCACCGGACAGTTCAACATTTTAGAGGGTGGTAAGGCTGGGTTTCCCGGCTTTCTGGTGATTTTAACGACTCCAAAACATCTAAAACTGGTCCTAACCCCAACCCAGCTACGTCCCACGAGAGAGTACAGTCTAGGTCCTTCGACAGCATGCAGTCTTGGTCCAACGACTGCAAGCAGCCTATCTACCACCCCCGGAAATTTTAGACTGTCCTGTGACCTGTGAATTTCCCATGTTTGGGGAAACATATTAAAAAAGCACCCGACTTTGTGTTGTTTGTTTTTCAAAAACGGAAATAACTTTCCCTCCGAAGTACATATGCCTGAGCAGCCAGGAACCAGAAGTCTGCATACACATAAGCCAGATTTGTAAAACGGATGTGACGCCAAATTCTAATTCTGGAACACGACTGTAACCCCCACCCTGGCTGCTGCCGGATGCCCTAATATAACCCAACCTATGGTTTGAAGGGGGTTTCTGGGACCTGTCCCCGGGTGATCATCATCCGAATGTTGGCACTTTGTGTCACCGGGTGTTTATCGCTCTTTGGGATGTCTTGGTGGGGCTGAACGCCAGCCAGTCGACGACTGAAGTTCAGCAGTGGACGAACAATCAATAATTTCCACCGGAGTTTACAGCCGGCGAACATTAAGAAGAATGAGTTGAGTTGAGTCTAGAATTGACATCACAGCACTCGGGGCATTCCCATTCGTGCTCCGTCCTCATCTTCAGCAGCCAGCGCAGAGTTCAAATACTAATGGTACCGGTCGTAATGTGGTTGTACGTCCGTCTTGCCTTTCCCCTAAGTGTACTGAGCTGAGAAGAATAAAATGACCTTGAATAGTGTGATGTCTTCTTTCGTTAAAGGTGTTAGATCGGACCTGGTGGCAACGGAATACATGATATGTGCTAATCTTAGCCAGTTTATTTATGTGCATCATTGTCGTCATCATCATTATAATCCTCATCACCATCAGTATAATCCTTATCATCACCATCATCAAAACCATTGTCAAATGGCCATCATTATTATCATCGTCATCACCATCACCATAACCATCATAACAATCATCAAATCGTCATCATGAGTATTATTATCATTATCAGCATCGTCATCATAACCATCAGTATCATCGTCATAATTATTTTAACCATCAGTATCATCGTCATAATAACCTTCAGTATCATCGCCATTATCATCACAACCATCAGTATCATCGTCATTATCATTTAAACCATCAATATCATCGTCATTATCATTTTAACCATCAGTATCATCGTCATTATCATTTTAACCATCAGTATCATCGTCATTAGCATTTTAACATTAGTATCATCGTCATAATAACCACCAGTATCATAGTCATAATAACCATCAGTATCATCGTCATTATCATCATAACCATCAGTATCATAGTGATTATCATCATAACCATCAGTATCATCGTCATTATCATCATAACCATCAGTATCATCGTCATTATCATCATAACCATTAGTATCATCGTCATTGTCATCACTATTATCATAACCATCAGTATCATCATCATCATAACCATCAGTATCATCGTCATTATCATCATAACCATCGGTATCATCACCACTATCATCATAACCATCGGTGTCATCGCTATCACCATAACCATCTGTATCATCATCATCATCACCATCATCGCTGTCATTATCTGTCACTATCTGGTCAGTGTATTCATCGTCCTCCCCCAACTGTTTCCAGAGCGAGTTGATGTCAAAACTCAACAAAAGACGCTCCGAGTACTTGGATGACGACAATGATGACGGCCTGCCACGGAGTCCTGTCCCAGCGGTCACCACAGCTGACGTCATCTTGGGCGAGCCACTGAAGGTTGGTCTGGGCTGTCTGTGTGACATCTTGTGTTTCCTTCTGTTTGGCGGGCGTCACTGTGCCGTAGCGGCTAGACGCTCGCGTCCGCATCAGAAGGTCGTGGGTTCGCTCCATGGCAAAGCCGGACTTTTTTCTCTCTCAAAAATGACATTGACGTCTAGCTCGACCCAGTCTTGAATGGGTACCGGGTTCAGTCCCGGGAAGTAAAGGCGGCCGGCGTGTATAAAAATGTAGGTCTAGCCCTATGTGCCATATACGCCTAAAGGCGTGGGAAAGGGACCTTTACTTTACTTGTATTTGTACTTCTGTCTGGCTTCTGTTGGGTGGGGATGTGTATTGATGGTAAGAAAATGGATGGTAGTGATATATATATATATATATATATATATATATATATATATATATATATATATATATATATATATATATGTGTGTGTGTGTGTGTGTGTGTGTGCGTGCGTGCGTGTATATATATATATATATATATATATATATATATATATATATATATATATATATATATATATACAGTGCAATCTTAAGGCAGTCTCGAAAATGGCGAATTTATTTTGTAACGAACAATTTGTTTATCCGTGGCAATTTATGTTTGCTTGGATTCTTATCTGGATAAGAGAAGTTATTGTATTATACGTTGTAAATGCATTATCAAGAGCTTGATCTCTTTCTTATCTGGATAAGAGGAATTTCTAATAAGAAGAACTATTTTTTGGGACCCTGGTGAGTTCTGCTGATCAGGTTTGCACTATACTTATACTGCCACCACAGCCACTTGTACCACTACGGCTGCTGCCACTGCTACTACTAGCTCTGTTGCTGGTGCGGTAACTGCTGTTACTACCACTACTTGTGCTCCTACTGCTAGGCTGCTACTACTTACTACAACAACTATTACTACTTCTACTGCAATCACTGTTTTAACCGCAACTGATTACTACTGTTACTTTTACTAAGCTGAGGGGGCTGTGTGGTCTTGAGGCATGGTATCCGCTTCGAGTGCTAGAGGTTCTGGGTTCAATCCCCGGTAAGGGCTGGGATTTTTTCACATGGACTTGGACTTCTAGTAATTCCCCCCCTTTTCTGGGTAGTGACATCGGACGCCCGTGTGCATTGGTGCGCACGTAAAAAATTTCTTGGCAGTTGGAAATTGAAAAGAGTAGCTTAAAGGCGCTGCCCGAGCAAAATTTGGAGTTAAAAATCTACTCAAAGTATTTCAGGATCCTCGCCGGTGCTACAGAGCCTGTGCACTGTACTGAGCTTCTTCGGACTCATACTTGAGTTAGAAGTAGAACGGAGCACTTATGGGTTCTACCCATGTGCCATGATGTTATCCATTGGTCAAAACCTCAGAACAACAACCGCTTTTAAAAAACTACTTAATTGCTACTACTGACTATTACTGCTACTACAATTCCTCTTACTAGAGTTAGTATAGGTACAACAACAACACTATCAATAAGCATCGATTATTTATTCTATACTGTCTAATGTCACACTGCCCATGTCTTCCTTGTCCATCCTTTGTCTCGGAAAACGGAATCTATAAAGCTCATCGATTAAACCAACACGAAACCTCTCGGGTTGACTGCATGTGTGGCTGTAACGCCACTCTACCAAAGTCCACTCTTAGTTCAAGAATTAGTTGTTAACATTCTGGCTTGCTACCCCCAGGGATTGCTTGACTTGTGTGTTCTTGTGTTTATGGCTGTGTTCCATCTAATCCGCTGTATTCCTGCCGAGCCGAGCCGTTCGTTGTGTGGCAGGCAGCAGGACTGCCAATAGATATTTTTGAAAAACCCAGCTAAGCTGAACAAAAACCCAAGCATTACATAAGCAAAGATAGATTGTTAAAAAGTACACATTTTATAGTTATGAAACGAAACATTTCCCCACTTTTATATAAAGATATTTAAAAAAAACACACCCAGATTTCAAAATTTGAACCCAAGGTGTCAAATAAAAACCCAGCTCTGGGGGTAAAAACCCATTCATTAGCAAACTTGTGTGGCAGTGGTTGCAGCGTCATGTTTGATGAGTCATCTCCACCTTAGTCAGGGGTTAGTGACTGTCATCGGGGAGGGGGGTGAGATGTCGGGTGGTGGGGTGAGATGTGGGGTGGTCGGGTGAGATGTGTGGTGGTGGGGTGAGATGTGGGGTGGTCGAGTGGTTGGGCGTCAACCTAACAGGGAATCAGAAATGAAAGATTGAACATTACGGAGCAGAGCTTTCATCAGTGTAGACAATCTTCTTCTTCTTCTTCTTCTTCTTCTTCTTCTTCTTCTTCTTCTTCTTCTTCTTCTTCTTCTTCTTCTTCTTCTTCTTCTTCTTCTTCTTCTTCTTCTTCTTCTTCTTCTTCTTTTTCTTCTTCTTCTTCTTCTTCTTCTTCTTCTTCTTCTTCTTCTTCTTCTTCTTCTTCTTCTTCTTCTTCTTCTTCGTGTTTTTCTTCTTCTTCTTCTTCTTCTTCTTCTTCTTCTTCTTCTTCCTTTTCTTCTTCTTCTTCTTCTTCTTCTTCTTCTTCTTCTTCTTCTTCTTCTTCTTCTTCTTCTTCTTCTTCTTCTTCTTCTTCTTCTTCCTTTTCTTCTTCTTCTTCTTCTTTTTCTTCTTCTTCTTCTTCTTCTTCTTCTTCTTCTTCTTCTTCTTCTTCTTCTTCTTCTTCTTCTTCTTCTTCTTCTTCTTCTTCTTCTTCTTCGTGTTTTTCTTCTTCTTCTTTTTCTTCTTCTTTTTCAAGCTGCTGCTTTCCCCCTTCCTATTCTCGCACTTGTGCGCTTATACGATGTGTGCCTTTTGACTGATGACGTACTGTGTTATTTTCAACTGCGGTGGGTTTATTTACCGTACAAACACTTGATCTGATGCGTTCTAGCTAGTCCTGAAAGCTTAGGTAGCCTATCATCACTACCAGACCAGACGAGCAAGTAACACGAAGAAAGAAAAACAAGCGATTTGAGAGTATGATTTATATTGTTGTTAAATCTAAACAGAAAGAGGCGATTTCAGAACAGAGGCACTACTGGATCAGGGTTGGGGGAGGGGGGTTCGGGGCTATATTATCTTCAGCCCCTTTCCGCTCACATTTTTCATGGGTGGGGGGGGGGGGGCTAAGCTCTACAAAAAAGACCACGCCCTTCCTCTCGCCCCCCTTCTCCCCACCCCAACCGTGTATTGAAGTCCTCGTGAAGTTTGTGTTTGACACAATATTTCAGATATAATACTATATTCTTTTTATCATTTAGCAAAATTTTTTTTTACATATAATATTTCAAATATATTATAATATTTTGTTGTTGTCAGTCAGCAGATTATTATTACTATGTGCGCTTAAACAAGACTATCCCCTCCTACCTTGAGCTCCCTTAGTGAGAATTTTTCAGGGACTGAGCCCATCCAGTGTCTCCTTTGTATGGGCGCCCCTGTTTCAATCATTTGCGGCCTAGAGCCCGCGGATACATTTGAGTGCGGTGCTAATCTATTCCAGCGCGGTGCTGGACGGGACGGGCTGATGTTCGGTCAGGACGGGCGTGTAAGGGAGCCAATCGTGAGTCACTGGCCAGACAACTAGAGGGTTGTCTATTAGAATACGGTCAGTCTAGTGGGCGTACGTAAAGGGAAAGATATTAGGGGGCTTTCTTTTCTGAGAAGGAGATGTGTTCTTCTTTCATGGCGTGGCCATGGGCACTGCCAATACGTGGGGGTTTTCCCCGAGATCTGGGTTTTTATTTGACGCCCTGGGTTCAGATTTTGAAATCTTCGGTTTAAAAAAAATATATCCTGATGTAAAAGTGGGTAAATGTTTCGTTTCATAACTATAAAATTTGTACTTTTTATTTTTTTATGTTGTCCTTTGCTTATGAATTGCTTGGTTTTTTTTTGTGTGGATCAGCTTTGATCTTGGTAAAAAATTCTATTGGCAGCCCTTGTGGCCATATGGAATAATCAAGACAAAAACATAAACCTTGCCTCAGAAAGAATTATGAGCACAAAAAGAAAAAACAGAGAAGAAAGAAGAAAGCAGATACTCTTGTTAGGAAACGAGTATTTTACAAAAAGGGGAGGGGGATGCCGGGAAACAGAGGCAGAAAAGTAATTAATTATATGGAGTCTCCAGAATAAGGGTTGGCTGCAATGGAAATCCAAAACCCAGTTGTTCTACTTTATTGTGGGAGACGGGGAATAGGGGTGGGGTCGTATGGGGTTAGACCCACACCCCCTAACACGGAAGAGTCGACTAAATCGGGTTGTTTACTATGATGTCGGAGTGTATCTGCCTGAGAGGCGAGGATTCAAAAGTCTACATACAAAAAAGCCAGATCTGTAATACTCAGGTTCTGGAACACGACCAAAGACTAGAAGTGGATAAACAACCAGAATCTTCCACCGGAATTTACAGCTGGTAAACGCGGAGGAGGAGGAGGAGGAGTAATAATAATAAGATGCAGAACAAGAAGAATAGCTCCCATTTGAATCGGCCTGCTTCAATATCATCTGCCTTCAGTCAGGGCTTCCAATGGGGTTTTTATCAAAACCCAAGCTAAGCTGACGAAAAAACTCAAGCAATACATAAGCAAAGAACGCACACACACACTCACACACACATATACTCACATACACACACTCACAACCACACACAACCACACACACACACACAACCACACACACACAACAAGAATGATAAAAACTTTTATATTTACTAAATTACCCACTTTTCTTCTTCTTCTTCGCGGTCACCAGCGGTAAACTCTGGCAGAAAGTTCTGGCTGTTTATCCACTTGTGGACTGCAGTCCGGTTCCAAAACCTGAGTTTTGCATGTGCATCCGTTTTACAGATCTGACTCATTTGTATGCAGAATGCAGGTTCCTTGCTTCTCAGGCAGATGCACTCCGACTTCGAAGGAAGCTCCCAATTAGTCGACTCTTGACTCTTATGACATGCTTTTAGCTAGGCAGTGCGTCTGTTCTTGTTTTCCCTATAATAGGGTCCCGGAACCCACACGGGGGTACACACTTTTATTATGTGCCCATGGGGCGCCAAGCGTTCTAAAACAATTATTCTAGCATCATGTACCCACTTAGCTATTGGCATAGAAGGTATCCTTTACTTTATAATTTGTATAAGTTGTTTTTTAAATTTCATTATCTGATATTTACTCCTTTCAACAGTTCGCTTCTAGTCTTTCCAGAACTTCTGTATTTGATTCTCTCTCTCCCCCTCCCCCCCCCCTCAATCTTGTTCTTCTTGTTTACCGGCTGTGAATTCCGGCGGTCAGTCCCGGGTTGTTCGTCCATTTGGACGTTTGACTTTTTCCTTGACCTGATTTTTGCGTGTACATCCGTTTTACTGGCTTATTTGTTTGCAGTTCTCGTTCCTTGCCGCCCCCCCCCCCCATGAAATACTACATGTTATTCTGTATATCCATATTTTCCGAGACTCAGTTGTCAAGATGAGATTACGAAGCTTAAACAGCTGAGTAATAACTGTAAAGCATCTAATCATCAGCAGCCTTATCAAGTTTACCAGCTGATACTTGATGAGATACTTATAAGGGAGAAAAAGATACGATAACTTATCCATCTCTAGAAATCAGCTTGTATATATACGCATGTGTAATGAATTCGTCCCACTCTCTGAGGCCAAACGCCCGCCTTTTTACCAGATCTTGCAGCCGGCTCTCCAGCTTTCAGGCGAAACTCCATCTGCCTGCTCTTATCAGAATTTCTTAGATCCATCAGCCCTCGCATCTGCCTTTAGACCTGAGATATGATTACAGGTGTATTATTAGTGGCCAGGTCACGACCCCAAGAGCTGGCGAGATTCCCTGATAACTTCAGGTGTTGAAGGTGCGCTTATCTGGTGCCCTCTTCTTCTTTTCCTTTATGGGGAAAACTGGGAACCTTCAGTAGCTGCTAAGTGGGTAATGTTATGCCAGGGCTAGGGCTGAAATGGGATCTTTTTGGGAGCAACCCAGCTAAGCGGAACAGAACCCCAAGCAATACATAGGCAAAAAACAAAAACAAAATGAAAAAAACCTAGATTATCGGAAGAAAGTACAAATTTTCTAGTTAAGAATCGAAACATTTACCCACTTCTATATAAGGGAATTTTTTCTAAAACCTAGATTTCAGGTCGTGTTGTCGTTTCATGGCTTACTAGGCATGGTGTCCGCCTCGAGTGCTGGAGGTCCCGGGTTCAGGCCGCGGTAAAGGCTTGGATTTTTTCACGTGGACTTCCAGTAATTTCCCCTGGTCTCTGGGTAGTAAGATCTGACGGCAAAATCTACCCAAAGTATTTCAGGATCCTCACCGGGGCTATGGATTTCGTGCACTGCGCTGAGCTACTTCGGACTCAGGACTGAGTCAAAAGTTGAACGGAGCACCTGTGGGTTACTACCCTTGTGCCAAGATGTTGATCCCTTGTATAAACCAAACCAAACCATGGTTTACGTCTTTCGTAGATGGGCCGCCCATCTACGCATCCGACCACCCATCCATCCAACTTTATATTCCTACCACCTTGTGTTTCTGCCAGGATAAATATTATAAAATATGTTTCACAAGTTAATCGTAAGCGCATAATAGAACGATTATTTATTTTCTCAGCACCCTCTTTTTTTTAAATTGCAGGCCCAGATAAAACATTTCCCATCATGCCCTACATGTAATTTTCCCAGAATTCGTCAGCATTATTACGTCACGCGCCCTTTTTTAGTTCGTGGTTCTTATCATGTAAATAATTATTTTAACAAATCCTCACAGTTCGGTGCATATAAATGGCTAATTCCCAGCGCCCACAACCCACCCCATTCCCCTTTTAAACTACCTCTCTGCCATGAAATGTTGATACACACAATGTCGTTTTATTCTTTCCTTCATTCCTTGATGTATTATGTATATTTCTTTCTTTCCTTCTTTCTGTCTTTAATCAATAATTTCACGCTTTCTTTCTTTCCCTTCCCCCTTCCTTTCTTTCTCTATTTATTTACTTATTGCTTACTTAGAGAGAGAGAGAGAGAGAGAGAGAGAGAGAGAGAGAGAGAGAGAGAGAGAGAGAGAGAGAGCAGAGTTAAAGAGAAAACATCGCCGACGGAGAGAGGAATATAAAATGAGAGAGAGGGAGAGAGAGAGAGAGAGAGCAGAGTTAAAGAGAAAACATCGCCGACGGAGAGAGGAATATAAAATATGTGTGTGTGTGTGTGAGAGAGAGCGAGGGAGAGAGAGAGAGAGAGAGAGAGAGAGAGAGAGAGAGAGAGAGAGAGAGAGAGAGAGAGAGAGGAGAGAGAGCGAGCAGGTGCCCACATTCCACAAATGATTAAAAAAAAACCCACATAAAAACAGATCAATGAAAGAAAGCCGACACAAAGAAGCCAGCGTGAATGCCGATTTATGAAAGAGGAAGTCCCTGATCAATAATGCGTCGGACGCCTTTGTTATCGTCTCACAGCTCCGTCATATTTTTGTATCGAGGCTTTATTGGGTTCAATAATGGTGCGAACACAGTGATTTGCCTGCAGGTCTGCCAGCCATATAAGTTCCTCTCTCTTTTCTTCATTCTGCTTCTCGTTCCTTCTACACTTGCTGCTGGGGCTGCTCACCATTTTACGCCTTTTCTTCATTCCTGTTTTTCATCTCTTTGTTTGTTTGTTTGTTTGTTTGTTTATTTGTTTCTTTCTTTCTTTCTTTCTTTCTTTCTTTCTTTCTTTCTTTCTTTCTTTCTTTCTTTCTTTCTTTCTTTCTTTCTTTCTTTCTTTCTTTCTTTCTTTCTTTCTTTTTCTTTTCTTTCTTTCTTTCTTTCTTTCTTTCTTTCTTTCTTTCTTTCTTTCTTTCTTTCTTTCTTTCTTTCTTTCTTTCTTTCTTTCTTTCTTTCTTTCTTTCTTTCTTTCTTTCTTTCTTTCTTTCTTTCTTTCTTTCTTTCTTTCTTTCTTTCTTTCTTTCTTTCTTTCTTTCTTTCTTTCTTTCTTTCTTTCTTTCTTTCTTTCTTTCTTTCTTTCTTTATACGCACACCTGCCTTCATTTTTGTCTGCCTTTCTTGTTATGACTGTTGGCGCCAGGTTAATTAGAAAAATAAAATTATGGACAGTCTGTTTGCGAATGCCTAACAAAACATTGGTCAGGAATTTCTGTCTGTATCCATGGCAGATGTAGTGAGAAACATTAGCAATAATGAGACCTATGAATGGTTTTATCCACCCATATTTGGTGGAAATTTATTTTGAGAACTCATACATAAGTTAGCCGGCCACCATGGTGTAGCGGCTAGAGGCTCACCTGGTGATCCTAAGGTAATTGGTTCAAATCCGAACTCTTCTGCTTTTTTCAAAAAATAACCCTTGTTACCAGGTTGATCCAGCCTTAAATGGGTATGAGATAAAGTCCTGGGAAGTAAAGGCCACCAGCATGATGTTGACCACATCAAGCACTGAGAACCGATTGGTCTATGAAATGTAGGTCTAGCCCTATATGCCCAATATGGCTGAAGGTCTGGGAAAAGGGTCCTTTACTTTACACATACAGATGGCCGCATCCTGTTTCAGATTGGGTTTAGATATATAAAAAGTTAATCCTGCCTTGCAGTGGACATTGTTCAAATCAGAATCTTGCAGTGAACTAAAAAAAAATATCCACAGATGAAACTACATGCTAACCAATAATCACTGATAAAGAAACTGAAAATATCAGAAGTTTTGAATACCTTGATTTCATTTTTATTCTATTTTTTTTAAACTAACTTTTTTTCTTAACTTGTTTTCAGAAACAACTTAGCCAGTTTGGCAAAACATCAAATAACAGAGATAGTGACCAGAGCCTAATCAGTGTGGACAGCTCAGAAAACGAAGAGGTTTGTTGATAGCTCCTTAATTTCAGACTGAATAATAATTAAAGGAACTGCTTATAAAAACTAATTTTGTATACTCAATCCTACTAACATAGAAACCTAGACAATAAGCAAACAGTCAGAGAGTTGGATTGAGGTTGTGGATTTAAAAATATGAAGAAGAATACAGATGTAGATATACAGAACATTATGTCATATCATATGCAGACTCCCTCTGTGGGTTCTGGGACCCCATTATGGGGAAAACAAGAATAGACCCACTGTCTCCCCAACAAGCATGTCGTAAGAGTCGACTAATTGGGAGCTTCTTTCAAAGTCAGAGTGCATCTGCTTGAGAGGCCATGAACAAACAGTCTGCATACAAATGAGCCAGACCTGTGAAATGGATGTGCACACATCACTCAGGTACTGAAACACCCAGACGTTTTTGCTCAAGTTTACAGTGGGCGAATGGGGAGAAAAAAGAAGAAGACAAAATTAGTCAAATTCGGAGGGTTATGGAGAGACTAAGAATGAAAAGATAGTTGTTGAAAGAATTGAAAAGAGAACTGTGAAATATTTTGGACACTGTTGATTGAGAAGTTCCGATTTGGGCAAACCACACAGTGTGTGTGTATCTTATGTCCTGTACATATTGATACACAAACTGCTCCATATTCATTTCTAATATTCGGAACAGCCATTAAAGTATTCAACAAAGGTTACTCTAATGTATTTCTTTGTAAAATTTCTTTATTACGAACATTTAGGCACAGATTTATCTGCTTCATTGCTAGCGTCACTTTCAGACAGTAAATTTTCTGATTTCTTCTTTGACTGGCCATGGATCCCAATGTTCCGAACACAAGCATAGACCAAACAATTCACCTTTCTGTGGCTGAAGCTCTGACATTGTTTCAGTCAGATGTTTTTTAATTCTGATAATGGTAATGAAAACTTAAACTTTTCGGAAAGTGCTGCTGACGGTGAATGTACGTCAGCAGAGCAGTCATCTGTTAGTTCTGATAAGGAAAACCCAGGAGAACCCATTTCATTTGAGAAGTGTGTGATAGTCACCTCTTTTTGCATCCAAAGGACTGTTTTAAACAGTACTATACTGTGGTTAAAGCCTCATTGAAATCTTTGCAGCTACAGTCTGTATATAACTACAAATTTAACATTTAGTGTGTAAAGGTCCAATTCTTCTGCCATTTTTTTCCCTTTAAAATTTTGTTCAGCACTCTGTGAAAACCTAGAGCCTCTGAGTGATAAACCAACCTAGAAACATATCATAGCTTTTGAATATTTTAGGAAACTGAACAAACTTTAAAGAGTTATTCTCAAATTTAGATATTCATTGCTCTTGTGGTTGCAAAACCATGGTAAGTGAAGATTTTTGCTGTAAAATGTTGTCTCTGTAAACATAACACCTGCTGAATTTGTTTTCCTGCTAACTGTAACAGTATTTAACAAAAACATATCATCAGTCTCAAAATGTATATTAATTCCTCTTTAAAAAAATATGTACTTTTTATGGATTATAAATAGATTACATTCTCAGTTGCTTTTTTTGTTTGTACCACCCCTCTGCCGTTTTTGTAAAGGGAAATTAATGTGAGTCTGTCAAGATTCATGGCCTGAAAGAGTTAAACTGTCCTTGTAAAAATGGCCTGCTGGTGAACAAGAGGTTCCTCAGTGTCAGTTGTTTAAGGGCATAGGCTCCATTATTGGATAAACGGATATGCGGAAATAAATGGATATGTGGAAACAAAAGGATAAATAATATGAATCAAGCAGCCAAACACAAGATGAAGGTGAAACTGGTGTGGAAGGCTACAGATTCTCTCAAACACTGTAATGTAAGTTTGATTTACACATTCTCATGGCCCTGGATTGGATAAAGGACAGTAGAAGCATGATGTAAGTTTGATTTACACATTATCAGGGCCCTGGATTGGATAAAGGACAGTAGAAGCATGTTGTAAGTTTGATTTACACATTATCAGGGCCCTGGATTGGATAAAGGACAGTAGAAGCATGATGTAAGTTTGATTTACACATTATCATGGCCCTGGATTGGATAAAGGACAGTAGAAGCATGAAGTAAGTTTGATTTATACATTATCATGGCCCTGGATCGGATAAAGGACAGTAGAAGCATGATGTAAGTTTGATTTACACATTATCATGGCCCTGGATCGGATAAAGGACAGTAGAAGCATGTTGTAAGTTTGATTTACACATTATCATGGCCCTGGATCGGATAAAGGACAGTAGAAGCATGATGTAAGTTTGATTTACACATTATCATGGCCCTGGATCGGATAAAGGACAGTAGAAGCATGATGTAAGTTTGATTTACACATTATCATGGCCCTGGATCGGATAAAGGACAGTAGAAGCATGATGTAAGTTTGATTTACACATTATCATGGCCCTGGATCAGATAAAGGACAGTAGAAGCATGATGTAAGTTTGATTTACACATTATCATGGCCCTGGATTGGATAAAGGACAGTAGAAGCATGATGTAAGTTTGATTTACACATTATCATGGCCCTGGATCAGATAAAGGACAGTAAAAGCATGTTGTAAGTTTGATTTACACATTATCATGGCCCTGGATCGGATAAAGGACAGTAGAAGCATGATGTAAGTTTGATTTACACATTATCATGGCCCTGGATCGGATAAAGGACAGTAGAAGCATGATGTAAGTTTGATTTACACATTATCATGGCCCTGGATCGGATAAAGGACAGTAGAAGCATGATGTAAGTTTGATTTACACATTATCATGGCCCTGGATCGGATAAAGGACAGTAGAAGCATGATGTAAGTTTGATTTACACATTATCATGGCCCTGGATCGGATAAAGGACAGTAGAAGCATGATGTAAGTTTGATTTACACATTATCATGGCCCTGGATCGGATAAAGGACAGTAGAAGCATGATGTAAGTTTGATTTACACATTATCATGGCCCTGGATCGGATAAAGGACAGTAGAAGCATGATGTAAGTTTGATTTACACATTATCATGGCCCTGGATCGGATAAAGGACAGTAGAAGCATGATGTAAGTTTGATTTACACATTATCATGGCCCTGGATCGGATAAAGGACAGTAGAAGCATGATGTAAGTTTGATTTACACATTATCATGGCCCTGGATCGGATAAAGGACAGTAGAAGCAGGAGACCAGTAAATGTGGCTAGAAATGTCTTTTTGCTGCTTTGTTTTCTCCTAGTTATAAATTCCTGTATATGCTGTAAAGTGTGTCATGGGTGTGATAAACCTTGATAAAAATCTACAGTGTACTGTATTTGTACTTTCAGGAGGAATTGTTTATGAGCAAGTGGAAAAGCTCAGTGCCCGCCAGAAAGTCTGCTAGTCTACCAGCCACTTCCAGCAGTAAATTGTCATCTGGTAGTAAGTAAAATAACTGCCATTCTTCTTCTTCTTCTTCTTTTCTCTGCTCCTGGAATGCCTTGTGGCATCAGGGGAGGAAGAGATGTCTAGAACGGGCCCTTCTGTTCGCTTCGTATAAAGTACTTTTCAGTGCCTCTGATATTTCTGCGGTTCATCTTCTGTGTGGTTGTCCTCTGGCTCTGTTACCACTGTATCTATATAACATTGCTCTTTGTTGCGCTGTCTGCTGCCAGTCTTGTTACATGGCCAAACTCATTTGATTTGTTGTCTACCTATAACATTCAGCATTGGTTCTGTGCCAGTTCTCCTCCTGATACCGTTCCTAAGTCGATCTTTCCTCTTTATACCTAGCATATCAACTGCCATTTTCTGCCCATATTTACCACTTTTACAGTGTAGGCAGAGGGGATCTTTGAGCCTGAGGATTAAGGACTGCATGGCTAGTGCTGTTGTCATGGACTGTGCAGGTTAGGGTTTCCTTTTTGCCCCCTCTCCCCATGAGGGAAAGAATGAATTGACCCCTACAAGTATGTCGTAAAATGCAAATGATTAAGGCTATTTCCTTCGAAGTCGCAGTGCATCTGCCCGAGATGCGAGGACCCAAAAGTCTGAATACAAATGAGGCAGATATGTAAAATGGATGTTAGTATTTTCCACAGTTATGAATGTTCTGTAAATTCAATGTTAACATGTTATTTGAGCACTATGTTAGCATTCTCCAGAATTAAAAATGTTCTATAAGATCTGTGTTAACATGTTTTATACGTTCTATATTAACATTTTTTAAGCACTATTAGAGCACTCTCCAGAATTATGAATGTTCTGTAAGATCTATGTTAACGTTTTATACGTTCTATATTAACATATTCTTTAAGCACTATTATAGCATTCTCCAGAATTATGAATGTTCTGTAAATTTTTTGTTAACATGTTCTTTGAGCACCATATTTGCTTTCTCCAGAATAAAAATGTTCTGCAAGTTCTTTGTTAACATGTTCTTTAAGTTATATTTTAACATGTTTTGTGAGCACTGTTCTAGCATTCTCCAGAATTTTGTATACCCTGTAAGTACTTTGTTAACAAGTTCTATGTTAACATTTTCTAATAGCCCTAAGTTAACATGCTCTATAAGTGCCATGTTAACTTTCTCCAGAAACAATGGACACTCTAGACTTCAACAGCATCCAGAAGACAGAGCTGCTGGTGAGCAAAGCAGCCAAGCACAAGATGAAGGTGAAGCCAGCACGGAAGGCTAACCGACAGTCCCTGAAACATCGTGATGTAAGTTATACATTACCCATGTGGTCCATGAAACATCATGATGTAAGTTACACATTACACTTATATTCCCCAAAACATCATGATGTTAGTTACACATTGCACTTATTTTCCCTGAAATGTCATGATGTAAGTTACACATTACACTTCTATCTCTGAAACATTATAATGTAAGTTACACATTACATTTCCAGTCCATGAAACATCATGATGTAAGTTACACATTACACTTCTATTCCCTAGGAAGTCACGCCATGTGGTTTCTGTAGCCCTTTTTAGCTGTGAAGAAATAATGGACCCACTTCTTCTTGTTCACTTCCTCTATTACTGCTTCGGGTGTCGAGGGAGATATAAAGTTCTTCTTTTTGCTTTTCTGGCTGTCTGCATTATAGATGAAATGTGTTGTAGTAGAGTTTTTCTGATGTTATCTTTCCATATTGTTTTTTTGTTGTCTACCTTGTGCTCTATGTCCCCTTGTTTTCATGTATGCCTTATATAGTGTAGCGTCACAGGGCAGTCTTTCTGCCCCCCCCCCCCCCCAATAAAGCATGTTTTAGAAGTTTACTAATAAGGGGTGTTTCCTTCTGAGTTGGAGTATATCTGCCTGAGAGATGAGGAACCATCAGTCTGCACACAAATAAGTCAGGTCTGTAAAACTGACATGCATTCAAGGTGCAGGTTCTGAAACAAGACCAGCATCCAAAAGAGGACGACCAACCATAACTTTCCACTGAAGTTTACAGCCCGTGAACGCTAAGGAGGAGGGGGAGAAGAAGAAGTAGTAGGAGGTCTTTGTGGTGGTCAAGAGGATAAATCATTTTGTCTCACTCTGGGATTTTTATAAATGACTAAATGGATTTGAATTGTGAAGGCAGGTGATTATTATCAGTAGAGCTTCGGCACTTTCAGAAGGTGACCAGCCACTCTGCAGAGAAACTAAGTCACATGGGAAAGAAATAGGGCAGTGGAGTTGGGATTTTTTCTCATGTGGGATCTGGGGCTCATTTTGGGGGGAAGGGAGGGGGGGGGGGAGACTAGACCCACTGCCCCCTGACAAACATGTCATAAAAGGCAACTAAATAGGGTTGTTTCCTTTGAAGTCAGAGTGCATCTGAGAGATGAGAGACCAACAGTTGGCATATAAATAAGTCTGATCTGTAAAATAGACGTGCATGCAAAACTGAGGTTCTGTAACTAGACAAAAAGCCAGAAGGGAATGAAGAATCAAAACCCCTCACTGTAGTGTATAATCAGTTAACACTAAAAAGAAGAATAAGAAAAACACTGAAACTTTCTATAGCAGCCAAACACAAAGCAATAAGTTTATGGTAATTTTATTCGATAACTTATTTTAAAATTTCCCTGCTCAAGATTAGTTTGATAAATTTTATACCAACAGTTAATTTGTGTCAAAGGTTACATTCTATGTCTTTGTAATTTCAGACATCATCCCCAACACCCTTACCTTGTTTGAATGAGGAATCTCCCACAAGCTCTAAATATGAAGAGGTCAAAGAAGGCCGCACATCGGGTATGTCCTTTCAAATGTTCGTATGTTACGTTTGTCATATCAGAGTAGCTGTTTACAAATAAGACTGCTAGGAGGCGGCGTGGTCTCGAGGCATGGTGCCAGAGGTTCCCGGTTCAATCCCCGGTAAGGGTTGGGATTTTTCTCGTGGACTTGGACTTCTAGTGATTATCCCTGGTCTCTGGGTAGTGAGATTGGACGCCCGTGTGTATTGTTGCACGAGTAAAAAAAATCCCTTAGCAGTTGGAAATAAAAAAAGAGTAGCTTAAGGGCGCTGCCCGGGCAATGCCTAAAGTATTGAAGGATCCTCACCGGTGCTACAGAGCACTGTGCTGAGCTTCTTCGGACGCAGACTTGAGTTAGAAGAAGAATTGAGCACTTTTGAGGTACACCCGTGTGCCATGATGTTAATCTGTTGCTCAAACCCCAAATAAGACTGCTGCAACAAACTAAGAGAAGAAATACAATTTAGAATGCAATATGGTAATAAAGTATACTTTGTCAGTAAGTGGCCTATGAAGACCCGGTAAGTGGCCCATGGAGGCCCGATAAGCAGCCCATGGATTATTGCCTGCTGTACTGAATTAATGATCTTTGTCTTCTGGAGCTCCGAATTCTGTTTCGTGATGATTCCCATTTGAAGAGTTTTGGCCTTTGAGTAAACTTGGTTGAATAGCCCTTCTCTACCACGTTTACTAAAACCAATTGCTGTCTCTGGTAACACCAAGATCACAAAATATAAATCCCCATGTGGCTTTTGGGGCTCCACTTTAGGGAAGAAAGAATAGACCAATATCTCAAGTGTGTCATGAAAAGGGACATTAGGGAATTCCTTCAAAGTTGGAACCCATCTGCTTGAGAGGTGAGGAACCAACAGTTTGCATAAAAATAAGCCAGGTGTGTAAAATGGATGTGTAAGCAGAATTTAAGTTCTAGAACAAGACTTCAGTCTAGAAGTAGATGAACTACCAGAACTTGAGTGTGAAAAGATCATTCTAATGTTGAGAGAATGGTGAGGCGGACAGCGACCAGGGGACCTAGCCCACACTCTGTCCTCAGAGGAAAGGAAAGACAAATATATAATAATCAGACTGCCACTGGTATCATCAGAATTTGAGCTCTTCATTGACTGCTGAAGATGAGGACAGTGCATGTATAGGAATGTCCTTAGTGCTGTGATGTTAGTTATTGACTTAATTCAGCTCAGAACTCTTCGCTGGCTGCTGAAGATGGGGATGGAGAGCTTATGCGAATGCCCCGAGTGCTGTGATGTCGGTTCTTGAACCAAATCAAATCATTCAGCTCAGCACATTTGTGCAACATATTTTCTTTAATGACTTTTAATGTTGCATTTTCTTGTTGATGGAATTAATTTGTATATTATTTTCAGAGAGAGTGACCCCCTCTGAGGATAAACCATCTGGTGGCTTTACCAGTCAGTCAGCTTCAGTTATTACTGATAAGATTGATGCTCAAACTGCCTCAGATAGAAAGCATAAAGTTTCTTCAATCAATATAGGCTCCAAGAGCGTCACAGGAAGTCCGCTTACATCGCCTACGTCACCACAGCCACCAATAGTAGCATCAGCAGCTGCAACGTGTGCAGCAGCACCACCTCCAGCAGTATCTGCAGCAGCCCCACCTTCTGCAGTATCTGCAACACCTGCCCCAACAGTGTCTGCAACAGCAGCAGCATCAGTGTCTGCAGTAACCTCACAATCACCAACAGCAGCAGTGTCTGCAGTAATCTCACAGCCACCAACAGCAACAGTGTCAGCACAGTCACCAACAGTTGCATCAGCACCATCGCCAACAACAGTAGTCTTTGCAATACCATCACCAACAGCGGTAGAAACAGCTACCACACCAGTATCTCCAACTGTGCGTTTTCCACCACAAACAGGCAGTATCTCGGACTTACCGCCCCACAACATGTCACAGTCTGGTTCTGCCACTCTCCCCTCTGCAACTGTTGCTCAACTGATTGCTGCGCCAAAAGTGTTTGAAAAGAAAATTGAAGAAAACTTATCTTTGAGTGATAGAGGTGACAAAACGATTTTGTCTGACACACATATTTCATTCCAACGGTTGAGCCAGAGTCAGAAAGGAGTGACTGATAATAAATTTGATACTGACATTAAATCAAGAATGAGCCACTTTCAGATGCCAGGCCCATCTAGTGGTAAACTTGATGCCTTCAATAGCACCCCAGCAGACATCTTGCCCAATAAAGAAACAAATCTTGAATCTACTTCAGTAACAGTTCTTAAAGAGGATTACAAAGTTAAACATCAGGTTCGCAGTAGAACCTTGCCGGCTGTCATAGGGGAACAAACTTCCCCGAAGGTGCAGAGATCTAGTTCCCATCGTATTCCGAACAAAGGAATAGATTTTCCGGAGCCTCGAAATGATTCTACAGTTCTTTCAGATGAAAATGTTATTTTATCATCAACTTCAGTATCATTATCATCGTCTTTGCCAGATTCTAAGAAGTCAGAAAGTGTTAAAGTTTCTACTGCAGAATCTAAAGTGGGGATTTCTGCTGGTGAACCATCTTGGATGAATATGGTGCGAAGGAAGAAAAGTGGGCAAGAAACAAATATAGAAATTGAGAAAGTAAAGACAGACGATGCTGCTGCAACAACAAGACCTGGTTTAAGCACATCTGCGCCTAAATCAATATTTACTTCTTCCAGTTATCTGGAAAAGAAGAGAGGTAGTACCGAAGCTGTTTCCTTCAAGGGTCGGGAGCTGTCAGAAGCATCTGCTAAAAAGGCTGACAGTTCTGATACCAAACGTCAAAGTTTAGACTTAACTTCTCAAAATAAACAAGCTGCTACTGAGCCTAGTTCAAGTAGTAAAGAGTCTGTTGAGGTAGAGGTAACCCATCTGGGGTCAGTCAAAGCCTCCAGGGGTATTTTTGATTCCAGTTCAAAGTTTGTGAGCCAGAGAGACAGTGTAATACCAACACCTTCTGCAGCATCTACTGCTGCTGAGCGAATCAGAAAGTTTTCAAGTTCTTCATCAGCAATACCTGGCTCAAATTCAGTGAAAGGTTCAAATACCAACCAAGAGGTCCCAGCTGCTGCTGCTGTTGCAAATGATGCCAAGCCAGTTGCTCCTGTTGGTGGCATTACTCATGCCCGAGGTGGCAGTGTGAAAGCATCACTTCCTAAAGCAACTGAGGTCAAGTCCTCTATCTATACTCGGAATGGAAGCGTGAAAGGTCCCTCAACACTCTCTGCCGCTTCCAGCTCGACATCAGAGTCACCAGCTTCAGCATCAGTCAAAGCTGAAGCAGTGTCCGCCTTCAAACCTGACAGCTTCGAGACAACCCCACCATCAGCATCACCTCAACCATCTGCACAGCATGTACCAGCGCATGTAGCTGCACCACCTAATCCTAGCTTGCCTTCTCAGACATCTTCGGTAACACCTTTAACTTACTTGGTACAACCTTTTAACGCTTACTCATCAAATCCTTCAAATAATTATGCTTTGGCTTCAAGATCTGCTTACGCTGCAACCAAACCCTACAGTAAATTTACTTCTGCACCCACAAATACAGCCACAATCCTACCCTACCCCGCTTCAGAACCTGCTTTAATTGCTGTTAAAACTGCTTCTATACCAAACGTAAAACTGTTGACTTCATCTTCTAATGCTGCAACTTCTTCTTTTGCTTTGCCAAATGTATCATCATCGTCATCATCATCAAGGAAAAATAGTATGAAATCAACTTTATCTTTATTTACACAAGCGTCTTCATTGTCATCGTCAACACTTTCTGTATCGCACTCAAGCACCATTCAAGCACAGTCATCTATAACCTCATCAACAGCTTCCAAATCTCACTCATCCCATGTATCTCAATTTAATTCCACAAGCACCTCATCCATTAGAAAATCATCATCATTCAAAGCTGCCACAACATCCTCTGAGAAAGTGGTTCCATTCCAGAAAGTGGTGGTTCCTGAGAAGTCAGCAGCAGACGTCAGGAAGCAGGCAACACCAGCCAAGGTGCCAGCATGGCGGACAAACCTGTTGAGTAAAGAGGTCAAGATAGAGATCATAGAAAACTCGCCTTCTCCGGCTCCAGCGTCATCTACTCAGACAAGTTCGGAGAATCTTAGAAAACCTCATGACAAGGCCAAACAGCAAGAGACCCTGAAGGTATTTTTTTTTTTTTTTAGTAGCAGTAACAAAAAATATGACTCAGTGTTTGCTTTCTACAGACTCATTTAAAGGCACCATAATAGATACTTCCATGAGGCTTCAAATGAAAACCTTAAAAGTGTAATAGAAATTAAAATATTCCTTTTTTCTAATACTGCCAGTATTGTTGTTAATGATATCAATAATATTAAGCACATGACATCACAGTGCAGATGAAGATCGTTTTGTCATAATGACAGTTTAAAGATGTCTGTCTCACTTTTGAAATGCACCAGAGAAGACCATACACTTTTAGGGTTTTCGTCAATTGACACCCCGAATACATTCTGCATCCACACAGATTGACAATATCCAGTGCTACTTATGAAGCAATGGATTGCAAACAGTTCCTTCCTGATGCCGCTAAACAGCAAAAGTGAAAATTAAAGATTATGATGTTAGTAGATACTGCAAAGTGTTAGACAAAATATATTAAGCCATGACATATGAAGTGTGATGAAATTTCTTGATGTTTATATTCTTTTTGTTCTTTTAATGTGTTTTCCTGGTATAAAGATTAATTTTCTATTGCAGTAGTGTTTCTCAGTATTTGGTTTCTATTTCTCTAGCAATGTTATCTTGATGTTTAGTTTATGTATCTTCTCCACTAATGTTATCTGGATGTTTAGTTTTTATTTCTTCTCCAGCAATGTTATCTTGATGTTTAGTTTTTATTTCTTCTCTGGCAGTTTTACCTAGATGTTTAGTTTTTATTCCTTCTCTGGCAATGTTGTCATGTTTATTTATTTTCTGTTTTTTCTCCAGCAGTGTTGATGTTTAGTTTATATTTCTTCTCTGGCAGTGTTATCTTTTTGTTTAGTTTTTTTTTCTTCTCTGGCAGTGTTATCTTGATGTTAAGTTTCTGTTTCTTTTCCAGCAGTGGCATCTTGATGTTTAGTTTTTATTTCTTCTCCTGCATTGTTAGTTATTTTCTGATTTTTTTCTTTTTCTGGCAGTGTTATCTGTATGTTTCTGTATATTTCTTCCCTGGCAATTTTTGTTTTGTTTAAATCTCTGGGCTTGCTATTTGATGTCTAGTTTTTTTTTTACTTTGGCAATGCTGTCTCTGTTTTCTCTCTGGTAATGTTATTTTGATGTAATGATTTTATTTCTTCTGTGTCAGTTGTATTTCTTTTTCATTTCTGGCAATGTTATCTTGATGTCTTGTGTGTTTCTTCTTTGGCGATGTTGTCTTACTGTTTTTTTTTTTTTTTGTTTCTTCTCTGGCAATGTTGTCTTACTGTTTAGTTTCTGTTTCTTCTCTGGCAATGTTGTCTTACTGTTTTTTTTTTCTGTTTCTTCTCTAGCAATGTTGTCTTACTGTTTTTTTTCCTGTTTCTTCTCTGGCAATGTTGTCTTACTGTTTTTTTTTTCTGTTTCTTCTCTGGCAATGTTGTCTTACTGTTTTTTTTTCTGTTTCTTCTCTGGCAATGTTGTCTTACTGTTTTTTTTTCTGTTTCTTCTCTGGCAATGTTGTCTTACTGTTTTTTTTTCTGTTTCTTCTCTGGCAATGTTGTCTTACTGTTTTTTTCTTCTCTTTCTTCTCTGGCAATGTTGTCTTACCGGTTTTTTTTTCTGTTTCTTCTCTGGCAATGTTGTCTTACCGGTTTTTTTTTCTGTTTCTTCTCTGGCAATGTTGTCTTACCGGTTTTTTTTTCTGTTTCTTCTCTGGCAATGTTGTCTTACCGGTTTTTTTTTCTGTTTCTTCTCTGGCAATGTTGTCTTACTGTTTTTTTTTCTGTTTCTTCTCTGGCAATGTTGTCTTACTGTTTTTTTTTCTGTTTCTTCTCTGGCAATGTTGTCTTACTGTTTTTTTTTCTGTTTCTTCTCTGGCAATGTTGTCTTACCGGTTTTTTATTCTGTTTCTTCTCTGGCAATGTTGTCTTACCGGTTTTTTTTTCTGTTTCTTCTCTGGCAATGTTGTCTTACCGGTTTTTTTTCTGTTTCTTCTCTGGCAATGTTGTCTTACTGTTTTTTTTTCTGTTTCTTCTCTGGCAATGTTGTCTTAGTGTTTTTTTTTCTGTTTCTTCTCTGGCAATGTTGTCTTACTGTTTTTTTTTCTGTTTCTTCTCTGGCAATGTTGTCTTACTGTTTTTTTCTTCTCTTTCTTCTCTGGCAATGTTGTCTTACTGTTTTTTTCTTCTCTTTCTTCTCTGGCAATGTTGTCTTACCGGTTTTTTTTTTCTGTTTCTTCTCTGGCAATGTTGTCTTACTATTTATTTTCGGTTTCTTCTTTGGCAGTGTTATTTTGTTGTTAGTTTCTTTCTTTTCTTGGCCTGCCTCTTCTTCAGCTCCTCTGGACACAATTCTGTAATATTGTTTTAGAGAGGTCAGTAGATCTTGTTTCATGTCCAGACATTTGTCATCCTTTCACTGTTGTTAACAAAGATTTATCATTGCCAAGGTGTTCATGGATGAAACAACAAAGATCATCAATTGTGATTTCATCTCTGTATGCTAAACCAAGGATATTTTGAAAAGATCTCATGTCCAATGCTTGTATTTGCTTTGCCAGTTTGAATGTTAACCCTTTTGGCCAGGGAACACCAAAAAAGTCAGGAGCTTTTTAGAATTGCAGGACATAAAAAATAAAGACAAACAACAATTTTTATACAGGTCACTAATAAATTCATAAAAACTGTATTTATCTGCAGTTCAAAGTTATTTTTTGATACATAGATTTATGAAGGGTGAAACCAATAACCATAAACACTGTAAATGTATACACAAGGGAGCTGAATGGTCGTAGACCCATCCAGACAGACCTGCAAACACTTGGTGCTACCAACTGGAAAGAGAAGGCCAACCAGACAGATGAGTTGAAGCGGGTGATATCTGCAGCAATGAACCTCAAGGGCTCGGAATGCTGAAGAAAAAGAAGAAGACTAAAGTTTTAAATGGAATACATCCCCTCGGCTTTATCTAACTCATGCTGTGACCCCTGACCTCTATCACTTAAGCTTACGAGAAAATTTGACATCAACTTGCTTTTAAAAAGCCCCCCCAACGCCCTTTCCTCACTATTATTACTTAATGTAATCATATCTTGACCAGGTGCAAACTTAGCCAATATCATTAACTTTATGTCTTCTAAATTGATCACTATTTTAGACAAGTCAGAAATTTGACATTCACAGAAAATTGGACTAAACTGGCCATGCCAGGTTTTTTAGCTTCTCAGGGCAAAAGGGTTAAGTTCTTATTGATTCTGCTAATACTCCTCCAATACTAACAGATTTTCTGTACAATTATAAGTAAGTAAGGTATGTCAAGGTCCCTTTTTACGCCTCTGGCTTTTCAGACACATGCGGCTAGGGTCATATTTTTGGATACCACTCGGCATTCCATGGGTGTCAAGGTCACGCCTGCCATCTTTATTTCCTTCGACTTTACCAGGTACCCATTATAGGCTGGGTCAACCTGGAAGTCAAGATTATTTTTGAAAATAATCCCACTCAGTGGAGATCCAAAACTGAGATATTCTTGGAGTCAAGATTATTTTTGAAAATAATTCCACTCAATGCAGATCCAAAACTCAGATCTTCTGGAAGTCAAGATTATTTTTGAAAATAATTCCACTCAATGCAGATCCAAAACTCAGATCTTCTGGAAGTCAAGATTATTTTTGAAAATAATTCCACTCAATGCAGATCCAAAACTCAGATCTTCTGGAAGTCAAGATTATTTTAGAAAATAATTCCACTCAATGCAGATCCAAAACTCAGATCTTCTGGAAGTCAAGATTATTTTTGAAAATAATTCCACTTAATGCAGATCTAAAACTGAGATCTTCTGGGAGTCAAGATTATTTTTGAAAATAATTCCACTTAATGCAGATCTAAAACTGAGATCTTCTGGGAGTCAAGATTATTTTTGAAAATAATTCCACTCAATGCAGATCTAAAACTGAGATCTTCTGGGAGTCAAGATTATTTTTGAAAATAATTCCACTCAATGCAGATCCAAAACTCAGATCTTCTGGAAGTCAAGATTATTTTTGAAAATAATTCCACTCAATGCAGATCCAAAACTCAGATCTTCTGGAAGTCAAGATTATTTTTGAAAATAATTCCACTTAATGCAGATCTAAAACTGAGATCTTCTGGGAGTCAAGATTATTTTTGAAAATAATTCCACTCAATGCAGATCTAAAACTGAGATCTTCTGGGAGTCAAGATTATTTTTGAAAATAATTCCACTCAATGCAGATCCAAAACTCAGATCTTCTGGAAGTCAAGATTATTTTTGAAAATAATTCCACTCAATGCAGATCCAAAACTCAGATCTTCTGGAAGTCAAGATTATTTTAGAAAATAATTCCACTCAATGCAGATCCAAAACTCAGATCTTCTGGAAGTCAAGATTATTTTTGAAAATAATTCCACTTAATGCAGATCTAAAACTGAGATCTTCTGGGAGTCAAGATTATTTTTGAAAATAATTCCACTCAATGCAGTTCTAAAACTGAGATCTTCTGGGAGTCAAGATTATTTTTGAAAATAATTCCACTTAATGCAGATCTAAAACTGAGATCTTCTGGGAGTCAAGATTATTTTTGAAAATAATTCCACTTAATGCAGATCTAAAACTGAGATCTTCTGGAAGTCAAGATTATTTTTGAAAATAATTCCACTCAATGCAGATCCAAAACTGAGATCTTCCGGATGCCAGGTCAGCACCTGGCTGACATGCCCTTTTAGCTCCACCTACACAATTATCTTCCCTGATTATTTTCATTTATATTTTTATATTGTTTCTAACAAACCTTTGCTGCTTATATGTAACTACCAAAGATTGCCAGAATTCTCGGTATTTCTCTAATAATCACAATTTTTATCCATCCTATATGGAATAACTACTGATGTAAATTATGCTAAATTGTAAAGTATTGAGGTAGGAGTCAGAAATTTTTTTTTTATTGCTCTTTTCAAAAGTACAGTCCTGGTTTCAGAAAATGAAATGATTTGTTGAATACAATTTGTCATTTGCAGTTAAACTTTTGAGTAGTTGATAGCTTTTCTTACCAAATATTCTTTTTCTAAATAACTAATTTTAGGTTTTTTAACAGTGTTTGTTTTATGTTATTAAATAATATGGTCCATGTTTTATCAGTTAATTCTAATAAGTAATTACAAATTCTAGAGTGTGAGTTTGTATGATAATGAACACAATAATGATGAGGATGATGGTGATGTTGATTCTGATGGTGATGATGAGGATGGTGGTTGTGTGGGTGATGATGATGATGATTCTGATGGTGATGTTGTTTCTGATGGTGATGTTGATTCTGATGGTGATTCTGATGGTAATGGTGATGATGATTCTGATGGTGATGTTGATTCTGATGGTGATGTTGATTCTGATGGTGATGATGATTCTGATGGTGATGTTGATTCTGATGGTGATGTTGATTCTGATGGTGATGTTGATTCTGATGGTGATGGTGATGATGATTCTGATGGTGATGGTGATTCTGATAGTGATGATGATTCTGATGGGGATGTTGATTCTGATGGTGATGATGATTCTGATGGTGATTCTGATGGTGATTCTGATGGGGATGTTGATTCTGATGGTGATGGTGATTCTGATGGTGATGGTGATTCTGATGGTGATGGTGATTCTGATGGTGATGGTGATTCTGATGGTGATGGTGATGATGATTCTGATGGTGATGGTGATTCTGATAGTGATGATGATTCTGATGGTGATGTTGATTCTGATGGTGATGTTGATTCTGATGGTGATGGTGATGATGATTCTGATGGTGATGGTGATTCTGATAGTGATGATGATTCTGATGGGGATGTTGATTCTGATGGTGATGATGATTCTGATGGTGATTCTGATGGTGATTCTGATGGGGATGTTGATTCTGATGGTGATGGTGATTCTGATGGTGATGGTGATTCTGATGGTGATGGTGATTCTGATGGTGATGGTGATTCTGATGGAGATTCTGATGGGGATGTTGATTCTGATGGTGATGGTGATTCTGATGGTGATGGTGATTCTGACGGGGATGTTGATTCTGATGGTGATGGTGATTCTAATGGTGATGGTGATTCTGACGGTGATAGTGATTCTGATGGTGATGGTGATTCTGACGGTGATGGTGATTCTGACGGTGATGGTGATTCTGATGGTGATGATGAGGATGGGCGTTGGTTGTGATGATGATTGTAATGGTTATAATGATAATGATGATGAGAATAGTGATGGTAGTGATGATAAGGATAATGATGGTTAAACTGATGATGTTGATGGTGGTGGTGATGATATGGATAGTGATAGCGGTGATGATGTTGGGGATAGTGATGGTAGGGATGGTGGTAATGATGATAATAGTTAAGATTATCATGGCAAAGATAGTGGTAGTGATGATGATGGTGATAGTGATAGTGATGATGATTATTGGATGGTTAAGATAATGACGGTGATGTTAATGATGATGATGATCATGGGGGTAGTGATAGTGGTGGTGATGACGATAATGATGGTTATAATGATGGTGATGATGATGATGATGATAATGATTATAGGACCGCTAAGATGATGATGATGATGGTGATGGGGAATAGTGATGGTGGTGGTGGTAACAAGTGATATGGGTTGATGCTGTAGACATTATTTTCTGCCAGCTATTTTATCTATCTACACACATCTTTCATTTTTATTCCTTCCTCTCTAACCTAGTTAAATTTAGGTATAACCAGTTGTTACCCTGAAGGTTGATCAAGATATTTTAAACAAAATTACTACTACTAATGTGACCCTGATGAAACGCTTTGTGTTTTTGGCTGTTCTTCAGTCCACCAGCTATTCTGGCATATCAGTACTTTAAGTCTCGGCATGTTAAACAAACATGACAGTATGACATTGACAGACTCTATATATTAGGCTTGCCTGAAAGTATTACAACTGTAATTTTGTTGTTATAGTGTTTTTCTCCTACTAGACAATAGCTTTGGCTTTCTGAGATTGTGCAAGTTGTTGTTCTTCTTCTTTCGTTCACTTGAAATAAATTATCTATATCTGCAATCTAGTATGAACTTCACTGTCTTTTCTAATTCACTCAGCGACCCGTAAAGTTTGACTTGCACCGATGTTTCTCTTGGCCAAACACTTTGCCTTGATATGTTGTATTTGTGACAGTCTTGGAGGACGTGATCTGTTGTCTCAGGTGCCAATGCCACATGTGCACATGGCTGATTCCCCGATTTTAAATTTTGTGTACATGTGGCTGCGAAGTTGATTGTGTTCTGTTCTATGGTTGCTCTGGTCTGTCCATAAAATGGTAATTATCTTGTGCTGGTATTGGTGGCTTTCTGATTGATTTGATTATTTTTGTACAAGTGAGAATGAGATCCTCATCATAACATCCGCCATGTTTAATTTATTTTGTAAATTGACAAAATCATATTTGTGAATTAAAAATTGTTTTCACAAAAGTTTATCAAGTAATTTGTTTCTTAACAAATGTATTTTATGATCACAGAAAACGGAAGGCACAGCGGCTGCTGGGTTAACTGTTGAAACAGAGAAAACAACCAGAAGAACATCGAAAGTGTTGGACATGGTGAAGAATTTCCAGAACCTTCAAGCGCCATCATGAATATTTTAGATCAAGTTCTGCCTTTGACACTAACTATGAAGGACGTTACAGGACATTGTAACAAATGCTATGCAGTTGTAATTATGTGCAGAAGTTATTATTTTATTTCAAATTTTTAAAAATTTCATGCTTTATTCTGGGAACATAATACTTTTTAAAAATGAATTTAAATTGCCTACTTCACATGCAGGATTTTAATTATTCTGATATTTTTGGGGGACATAAAACACATAAATAAACTGGCTAAATTCTTCTGTCATTTTCAGTTTAGCATTATTATTACATCTTGCCACGTTGGACTGCATTTTGCAGTTGACATATAGTTTTTTATGCATCTCTTGATGATAGTATAATTGAAACATATAGATATAATTTCATGTTTCTTTCCTGGCATGTTATCACACATCTTTTGTATATCATATCCACACTTTTATTCATTAAATTAAAAAAAAAAAAAAAACTTGTATAATCTTTTATTCAGCCAGGAGACGTGGTTGCATTGTGTAAAATTAATTGTTAGAGAAAAAAAAAATGTGTGTGTAGTTTTTGTATCTCAAGGAATCAGTTGATTTGCTGATATTACTAAATAGTATTCTTGCTGTAAGGTCTTCCATATGCCAGATGACACATCAAATATAGATTGTAGATCCTGATTATACATTTTTTCTCATGCAGTGTAATTTTAACTGTTATTTTTAATGCATGAGTGAGATTAATAATTTTAACAGCACAGTTTGTAAAGACATAATGACTTCTTATTAATAGCATTAAAACCAAGTTATACATTTTCAATTTTAATGTGTTTTTTTCATGGAAGACATGGAACTAAATAAATCCGTTCAGAAACAACTTCCTGAGGAAATCCGTGAACATTAAATGGGGGTTATTTAAAGAAAGAGGAAGAAATAGAAAACAAATATCTGTACAACTTCGGGTATCAGCAGTTGTGAGACAAGGAAGATACTGATGTATTGGACACATCCTGAGGAAGAGTGAATAGACAATCACTAGACAGGCATCTAAATGGGAAACAAATGGATAGAAGAAATCATGGTACCCAGTTGAACTCTTAAGATGCACTTTGATAAGAGAAGCCAAAGATGTCGTACTGGATTCTATCCTTGATAATCAAACAGTTGCATAGAGTAGATTGGTGGAATGTCACAGAATGTCTGTAAAAGTGACATAACTGACCACAGAATGTCTGTAAAAGTGCTAGCACTGACCACAGAATGTCTGTAAAAGTGCCATTACTGACCACAGAATGTCTGTAAAAGTGCTAGTACAGACCACAGAATGTCTGTCAAAGTGCTAGTACTGACCACAGAATGTCTGTCAAAGTGCTAGTACTGACCACAGAATGTCTGTCAAAGTGCTAGTACTGACCACCTAATATCTAAAGAAGACAGCTAGCTCTATGTTGTTAGATAAATGACAAAACAGGACCATTTTGATAATTAAAATGTAGAAAACTATATTTAAATGTTCCAGAATTAAACTTTGTTAATTTGCTAGTTGTACTGAGATTTGTAGTTGAGTTACTTTGAATGCTTTTTTCTGAACATTGATGAAGAGAAAGTGTTTAACATTTTTTTAATCATAAATTCAGTTTAAAATTTCAGAATACTGCCATAAAATTGCCTACTTTTGAAGACAAATTTATTTCTCAAGTAGGTATGGAATTACTGTATAAAAATTGGGGCATGATAGAATATTAGGTTTATGACATAACATGGCAAACGAGTACGCTTTTAAAACAAAATGTTGTTTATGCTGTAAATATTTAAACCATTATTTTTTAGTTTCCACATATTGTACTATGTATATGATATTTAGGGTTTGCTAAATCTTTTTAAAAAAAAACTTCTTTTTATGGTATCTGAACATAACATGTTTCAGACACATGCCAGATATTTTTATTCAGTAATTTGCTTTATCAAAAAGTTTTTGTGTAAAAAAAATATTTATAATGACACATTTGCAATTTTAAAATAGAGAATACAACATGCCCACATATCTCGTATAAGTGCAGGTCTTTTTTTTTTTAGAACAGAATGACTGAAAAGGTGCTGGTGCTGACCACAGAATGTCTGCTAAAGTGCTGGTGCTGACCACAAAATGTTTGTAAAAGTACTAGTATTAGCTACAAATGTCTGAAAAAGTGTTGGCACTAACCATTAAAAATCTGAAAAGGTGCTGGTACTGACCACCTAGGTACTCACCACAGAATGTCTGAAAAAGTGCTGGTACTCACCACAGAATGTCTGAAAAAGGGCTGGTACTTACCACAAGGTGTCTTTAAAAAAAAGGGCCTGTAGTTACCACAGAGTATCTGGCAATCACCACAAAGTTCCTAAATAAGTACCTGTATTTACCACAGAGTATGAAAAGTGACAGTACTCACTACAAGTATCTTTTACAATGGCACAGAAATAATGTTTTGCAAAAAAATAAATAAATGATGTTGCTGTGTACCATTGGGTCCTGCAGAAAAGAAAAAAGCTCTGTATCCTGCAGTAAAAAAAGCTCTGTATTATGCAGAAAAAAAAGTTATATATTCCGCAGAAAGAAACCTCTGTATTCCACAGAAAAAAGCTCTATATTGTGCAGGGAAAAAGCTCTGCATTCCGCAGAACAACAAGCTCTGTATTTCACAGAAAGAAAGCTCTGTATTCCACAGAAAAAAAAGCTCTGTATTCGGCAGAACAACCAGCTCTATATTCCACAGAAAAAAAGCTCTGTATTTCGCAGGGAAAAAAGCTCTGTATTCCACAGAAAAAAAAGCTCAGTATTCCACAGGGAAAAAGCTCTGTATTCCACAGAACAACAAACTCTGTATTCCACAGAAAAAAGCTCTGCATTCCACAGAACAACAAGCTCTGTATTCCACAGAAAAAAGCTCTGTATTCCACAGAAAAAAAAACAGCTCGGTATTCTGCAGAAACAAAAGTTATGTATTCCGCAGGAAAAAAGCTCTGTATCCTGCAAGAAAAAAAAAAGCTCTGTATCCTGCAGAAAAAAACAAAGCTCGGTATCCTTCAGATAAAAAGCACTATTTAAATGTAAAAATTCATTGACGACCAAGCAGCTCATTATGTGTTTACTGCTCTTTATATGATACACTTAATAAAATAAATTGTCCCTAAGTATATGCTTAAGTCTAATCTATCTCAACCTGTTCTAACTCATTTTGTCATACAGTGTTGTTATTTGCAGTTGTCCAGACCAAGACATGTCTTTCTCTAAGCTCCAAATATGGACAGCATGATGAGTTAGATTAACACCTGCTTGAGATGGAAAGAGTTAAAAGCAGGGCTTTTTTTTCTGGTGGTACACAGTACAGGCACCTTGTTTCTGGTGGTACACAGTACAGGCACCTTGTTTCTAGTGGTACACAGTACAGGCACCTTGTTTCTGGTGGTACACAGTACAGGCACCTTGTTTCTGGTGGTACACAGTACAGGCACCTTGTTTCTGGTGGTACACAGTACAGGCACCTTGTTTCTGGTGGTACACAGTACAGGCACATTGTTTCTGGTGGTACACAGTACAGGCACCTTGTTTCTGGTGGTACACAGTACAGGCACCTTGTTTCTGGTGGTACACAGTACAGGCACCTTGTTTCTGGTGGTACACAGTACAGGCACATTGTTTCTGGTGGTACACAGTACAGGCACTTTTTTTCTGGTGGTACACAGTACAGGCACCTTTTTTTCTTGTGGTACACAGTACAAGCACATTTTTTTTTTCTGCATCGTTCATTATCAGTGTTTTTGTAGTAGGCACTTTGTGGTGAATACGTGCACTTTTTTAAAAGCTACTTTTTGCTGTGTACTGGACATTTTTAAAATCTGTATCTAATTAAAAAAAAAAAAAATCCTTGGTTATAAATGTATATATGAAAATGCAAACACTCCTACATCCACACAAATTTATTGTAAACAGATACTCATATACTTTTAGAAACTTTTACTTAAACTCTGAAAGACAAATCACCTTTTCATACAGAACTTATCTTGAAATTAAAGAAGTGAGGTGTTACTGACAACTCTATTAGGCTCTTTAGAAGTGTTTGGAAAATTACAAACAGCACTCACACTGTCATGTTACTAAAATAGTCGCTAGGACAATACAACGTAAATTTTAGAATTAATATTTTATAGGGAAATATTATAAAACATTGTTTATGTCACAGGTTTAATTTACAGTAGTTTATCTTTTTATAACTGCACACAACTTGAGTAAGAAGATTGGAAGATGTTAATGTATATGAGATGTAACATTGTGTGCACTTTTATATTTGTTATACTTTCAAGATTTATTTCGCAAGACATAGTGTGTTTCAGTTAAAAACTGGTTTATAATTTTAACATTTAGAATATACCAGTTAACTCATGTAAAAATTCACCTTGTTTGGGCTTTCAAATTTGTTATTTTTATTTTAGCTTGACAGATTTTGTGCTGAAAATGATGACTGTAGATGTCTCATAGTAAGTAGCATGCTTTTCACATGATGGACACTCTGGGTATATAATACTGGACTCATAATTTTGTATAGTTCACTGGGCACTCATTGTAGATGTACCATAAAATAGATTTGTTTTGTCGTTACTGCAAACCAAGAGTCGTGTATTTTTGTTTTCATTTCATGTACATCCGAGGTAATTGAAAATAATTAAATGAAACAAACAATTCCTACAAACGTGAAAAAAAAAAACACAGTTAAAAATTTACATTTAAATAATATTCCTACAAACATTTGAAATAACAAAAATGTTCCTTTGTGAACTGACATCACAGAGATCAGACAGACTGTTCACATAAATGCTCTGTCCTCACCCTCAGCAGCTAGAGGAGAGTTCCAGTTCCGATGCTGCCAGTAGAAGCCTGAATTTATGTCAATCTTGACTATCCACTGATAATAGAGTGCTGGCTTGATCCAATAAAAACCATTGATTAAAATAATTTTGCCTGTTACTAAAACAGTTGCTAAAACTGAG